ACTCGTCAAGGTGGGAACAGTATGTCGCTAACAGAGTAACAAGTATTAAACGCATAATCCCAGCGAACGAGTGGCGATATGTGAAATCTGAACAGAACGCAGCAGACTGTGCCTCAAGAGGGCTATTGCCTAGCCAATTACTCCACTTCAAGTTATGGTGGCAAGGCCCTGACTTTTTAACTAAACAGGAAAATATGGAAGAAAATATTTACTCATACACAACTAACATTGAATGCATAAACCACGTTGCAACAAAATATAATCCAACGCAGCCAACTGATCACGTAATAACTACTTTATTGAACAATTATAGTTCATTGACACGAATAACGCGAGTCGTCGCATGGATACAACGCTTCATAGCAAATATGCGTACTAAGGCGAAATCAAACACCGCACACCTAACAACGAACGAACTAAGCGCAGCAACTAGAAGTATCGTTATTCATGTGCAGCGATTGGAATTCAATCCCGAATACATTCAACTGCTACAAACTAAAACTGTATCCAGGAAAAGTTCCATTTATAAACTGAATCCTTATTTAGATTCCCATGGGATTATTTGCGTTGGAGGTCGTTTGAAGAACTCAAGTTTGCCTTCTGACATGAAACATCCAATGATAATACCTCACAAGGGACGCTTCACTCAACTTTTAATTGCACAAGCTCATACTATCACGCTACATGGAGGAGCCCGGTTGACTTTGACATACATCAGGCAACGGTACTGGATCATCGGTGGGAACCGTGCTGTGAAGGCTGAACTGATAAAATGCATACGTTGCCATCGATTCAAAAGGACTGACAATCATCAGATAATGGGTAATCTTCCTCAGTATAGAATAACACCCTGTCGACCGTTTACACATACCGGAGTTGACTTTTCCGGGCATGTTGACATCAAGCTTAACAAGGGCAGGGGAGTCAAAACGTCAAAGGGCTATATCGCAATCTTTATCTGTATGGCTACGAAAGCTGTGCATATTGAACTCGTCTCTGACCTTAGTACGGAAACATTTATAGCCGCTTTTCAAAGATTTTGTGCAAGACGGGGAACGCCCAAGCACATGTACTCAGATTGCGGCACTAATTTCGTTGGCGCTGCAAGAGTACTTCGACAAGAATTTGAAATATTTAAGCGACAGCTATTATCATCAGACTTGTTGAACACACTAGCTGACCTAGAAATTGAATGGCACTTTAACGCACCAGGTTGGCCCAGTGCTGGTGGACTATGGGAGGCGGCGGTTAAATCAATGAAATACCATCTGCGTCGGGTATTAGGAGAGCAAAAATTGACCTATGAGGAGTTCACAACACTCTTAACTAAAATAGAGGCGTGTCTGAATTCACGACCATTGTGCCCTCTTACCGAAGACCCGGAAGAGTTTTATAATTGCTTAACTCCAGGTCATTTTCTCACAGGAACCCCAACATTGTCACTCCCGCTATCCAACTGTCCGGAAGTTAACAATGTTGATTTACGTCGTAGATGGCAGTTGCTCGAGCAAATGTTTAACCAGTACTGGAAGAATTGGTCCAATGAATATCTTACTACGTTACAAAGTCGTAGCAAATGGAATAAGCCTACAACTAACATCAAACAAGGTGACATTGTACTGGTGAAAGATAACAACCTTCCACCGGCCAAGTGGGCTTTGGGACGAGTGATGGAGACACATCCTGGAGCTGACGGTTATGTTCGCGTCACAACCATAAAAACTAAATTGGGAATTATCAAACGCCCAGTAGTAAAACTATCACCGTTACCATTAAATTCAGACGCTGAAACTACGGGTGAGCAAGATAGCGCACCTCAAACGACGTCAGCTAAGAAACATCGAACAAAATCCAATAAATGTCTCTCAACATTTTTAATTACAATATTATCAATGTTTACATTTATGTCGGTATCACATTGCGCTATTGACGGCACGCGCCAAGCGCCGGGAGCTCAAATTACAAGATTGGAACATGAGCGGCCCGTATACTATGATGAAATTGGCAGAATGCAATTAATACATGACGAATGGATTTTAGTTATGTACTATAATTTAACTAATTATTGGGAAGGAACTAACCGCATTGAAACTTATTTTAACCATTTGAAAAATGTCTGCGACCAAACGAAACTACAACTGTGTAAAACAACTATAGAACAACTGGAACACGAAATTCAACTTCTCCGCTATTACAACTATGTTTTAATAAATCCACACAAACACCTCAGCATCAGAAAGAAACGAGGATTAATCGATGGTGTGGGTTATTTAGCTAATAGCTTATTTGGGATACTCGATCAGCACTTTGCCGAGAAATATCAACACGATATTCAGTCTCTGCAGAACAATGAAGACTACCTGTTTGAATTAATAAAAAATCAGACAAGTATTGTAGAACTAGAAAACGATGTCCTGAAGAAAAGTGAAGACAACATACAGCGTCAGTTCAAGCTAATTGATAAGTTCGTCAACCAAACTAATAAGAATTTGGCCTCTATTGAGTCTGAGATGGAGATACTTTCAGCAACTTCTTACATAAACTCTGCGTCTTTTACAACATTTCTTCTAATCAACAACATGAGAACCTTCCAAGAAATGTTATTTAACACGCTGACGAACATATACCAAGGCCATCTAGATGTGCATTTAATAACTCCGGTACACTTAATCGAACAGTTAAATGAAATATCGGGAAGTCTTCCAAAAACTGTGTCATTGCCAGTCGACAATTATAAGGAGCACATAAAGGATCTTTATAAAATAATAAATGTGAAGGCTCGAGTAACAGAAGTTTACTTCCTCTTCGAGGCTCACATACCACTTATCGCTAACGACGACTTCATTATCTACAAACCCATACCTCTGCCTATTAGAATGAACGAATCTACTGGACATGTACAGATATCATCCGATTATGTCGCTATAAATCTCAAAACGAATACATATATCTCATTGACAAAGGAAGACTTCAAGGAATGCCTGCAACAAAAATCAAATATTTACCTTTGCAAGAAAAACCTGCCGGCTTTCAATTTGCATAGCAACCGTGCACCATGCGAGGCTAAACTGCTGTCGCATCACAACACGGCGCCGTGCGATATGGAACGAACAGTTTGCAAGGACGCGTGGATCCAATTACACTCTTCAAACAGCTGGTTAGCGACTTGCTGCGACATATGCACATTACGTACTATTTGTAACAACGACGTGACGACGTACACTATGACGTCATCGAGCATAGTCTCTATAACTCAAGGATGTGTAATGCAGTCCAAAGATTTGACAATTTACACTCCGCACCAGTATAACAGTCACTTGAAGATGGACTACGAGTTATCTGTTCCTACTTTGGACAGCTCTATAAATAAGATCGTTAATCTAACGTACACTTATGTTCCTAATCAATTCCAAGACACTGCAGAAAGGGTAGAAATGAAGAATATAGAGGATAAGGTTAAAACACAACAAGAAAATGAGAATCGACAACTCACCACGATCTCCAGCCACGATGTTCATCAATATGCTATCAGCTACCTTATGTTAGCATCTGCCGCAATTGCTTTGCTTGTGGTGTTTGGAAGGAAGCGTTGTCGCAGGATTTCAACTAAACAACCAAGCGCATCGAATAACGAAGAACATCAAGACATTGAACTACAAATTATCCATAGACCCAGTGACAACCGGCTCAATGAATCAGCCACAACAGCATCACCGAGCGAGGAGTACCCGGAGCAGCATCAACCTGGGCCATCTCGCCGAAGTAGCAGAACCGGAACAAGAAACGTCGCATTTAATTTTGACTAATGAATAATTTGCTTTGTAATGGCTTTTCCTTTTCTCTATCTTTTATATTAACTAGTTTTTCTTTTGGGGTGGCAAGATGTACAGTCTTAAACTGTACACGCTGTATATGGGTAGTGCTGATGCGGCAACTATGTCGCGTCGCGCGTTCGTAATTTAAGTATAAATAGTCATCGATTAAGTAAACTCAGTGTGTGCTAATAAACCAACGATAGGGAAAGGAATCGCCAACCTTCAACTTGTATAACTTAACTAATAAACGTATCATAAGTGATTCTTTCTCTTTGCACTCATCAACTCAACTGACTTAACTTCAAGAAGCAAACATCTTTACCAGCGAACCTAAGCAAGGTGTACTTAACCGTACAGTAAGCAATGTTTGGTAGCTTTTTGTAGTTTTCGGGTCAGGATACATTATCGAAATTTTTACCCGGTTTCTTTTTCTTCTTATTAAAAACAGCCTATATTCATCAGGGTTAATGTAGGATGCCAATGGTAAAAGATTTTTTCAAATTGGTCCAGTAGTTTCGGAGCCTATTCAATTCAAACAAACAAAAAATCTAATCTGTCCTCTTTATAACATTGAAATTGAAAGTGCGGGTAATTTCACGAGTTAGTGGTGTTGCGTGCATCTCGAGCTGTTTCGCGGTTACTCCGCTCGCTCTCGGTGAAAAGTATACTCGGTCTGAAGTGGACCAAAGGATTAATCTCTCAGGAAATTTAAGTCGGATGCTTGGTCAAACGTTAGAACTTATTCTTGAAGGTCTATAGTAATACTGAGATTATACCTATACTCTTTGAACTACAAAATGATAAATAAATGAAATCCATAGATAAACGCTATGAAAGTAATCTGTCAAATCCGTTTCTATAGCAACAGTGATACATCAGGGCAACGACTTGTCAACATTCCATGACCGGATACGTATGTTTGAGTATCGCCCTGGCAACCACTACTTGTCTTGTTGTTGTCTTGTCCTTACATTAAATATAAACACAGAAGTGGTGAAACAGCTACACTGTAGTGTAGTGGTCGTGCCACGGTCGGTAGTGAGTGGTATAGTGGCAGCAGTGTCGGTGGTAACATAGTGGCGACGGACAGCGGACAGTGTCGAGCGGCGGTGGCGGCGGTGGCGGCGGTGGCGGCGGGTGACGTTCCATTTTCAAATGAGTGTGTCGTGTGGTGGTCGCGGCGGCTCGGCTCGCAGCCTGCATGTGTTGCATGCTGCTGGCCGCCATCGAGGAGCTGTACCTGCTGGTGCTGAGAGCGCTGCGCTACTGCCCCGGCGTCAGCCATGAGCGTGTCGGTGCGCTCCGTCTTGGTGGAAGGCCCTCAGGTGGCAAAAAACAAGGGCCCGTTTACATATGCTAACACTCCCAGAGCGCTGTACAATAATGCCAAACTCAAGACCAACCCTTCCTGGTACGTGTATGCCTTGTTATTAAGAATTAGATTTAGATATCTTGACATATCTTTCTATAGTTGACGATTATATTGTAATGACAGATCATGAACAGATTGAAAGTAAATTGTAACCGTTTTCCTTGAAGTAAACATAAACGCCTCATAGAATTATGTATTCAGTAAATAGTTTTGTAGCCTTAAAATATTTGTAAGACGGTGTTCCCGCAGTTTAAACGATATATTATAAGTATTCGTTATTAAACTATTAAAACTGTCAGTCTCACAAGCCGAAAACACTATGGGATATACATATTTATATTTTCTATTTGAGACTCGGTAGTATCGAGTGTAACATTTAAAACGGTAACACTATCATACCGGGTAACTATACGTTTGTATTTATAGGTTTATTGATTTTGTAAATAACTTGTAATTATAGAGGTCATTGTTTACTTCCGATAGTGGTTCTGCCTGTGGCCCGAGTAAGTATCTGCCAGTAGTTAGGTTCAGTGTCGATATTAATATTCGCTGTAAACCAAATTAAAGAGCCGTACTGACAGCATGAAGTGCGGGATCCGCGACGTAGCCATCGAGATCATATCACATGGATAATTTAATTATTAAGTAGATATTTACAGATTACCTCACAATATTTTCCTTCGTTGCATTTCAATGATGTCTAATTTATCTTTGAAAGTACGTATTGACGCGGAATAAGTCACATGAGAGGCAGGCGCCTCAACCACCAGGACATGAGGACACCACCTAAATATATGGGAATGAAAATATGTTATGTTGTTAATGCTACTTATCTTAAAATTATAAAATCTGTGAATAAATAATAAATTGTCCTCATATTCCTCCCTAAACACGGGAACATATCTTCCAAATGTTTATAGGGTCCATGTCTCTATGGCATATGGTCCTCTATGGCAATTTTCGCCGAAGTAGTTACTATAGCCAGCACGTTAATAAGTCGTCGTGCTGATTTATGCATACACATGCAATACTATATGTACTTCCTCATACGTCAGATTGTCAGAACAGAACCGCGACCCGTTTTGAGTTTTAAGCGGAGGGCACGTGAGTACATTAGCGGGAAGATGGCAGTTTCTTGACATCCTTTATAGTATTTCAGCATGTTGTATGATAGGATAAATTCAGATATGTAGGTATATTTCTATATACATATAATTATATTTATTATCGACTACGTAGTGTGTTTATGTACTAATTTTGATAGTTACCATATACCACTACCTCTCATAACCTTTTTGCAGCTTACCACCCACCACGTGTGTACATTTGTGCACTACCCAAACGATGACTTGCTAAGTGTAAAACTTAATTAAATAAATAAATAAACTACGTGTCCGTACACGACGCGACGGTCCGAGCACTCGAGTCGGTACGTACACTACAGTGCACAGTGAGCTTCACACGCACGTATGTCGTACTGCGTACACTCGTACACGCTGTATTTGTTTACTGAACCCGCCAATATGAACAGAGATTCGGACGCGCATCGATTTTGTTATCAATACGATAATGTTGCGGTTTGCTCTTCGTCATCGCTAACGACTTATTAATTAAACAAACCAAATTAATATTACCCATATTATACTTACTCGACGACTTTTCCACTAGACAACTATAAAAGTTGCGCGATTAGTATTTTATGATCATTGTGTCTCAAACCAAACAATGGTCAAGCACGTAAGTAACTCGTATATATGTTGCATAATATTCAAATAAAAGTCATACACCGCTATATACCTCATATACTCCGTGAATTTTATTTCGTTTTTGTCCCGAAGTAAAATATTTCTGTCTCGATACAATAAATTCTTTTACAATAAGTGTCATCAAACTTTGGAATGCGCTCCCCCTCAATATCATAAAAGCTCCTAATAAAATCTCCTTCAAACACCAAGTTCATGAATTTTATTTAAAATCGCTGCAACGCTAGATCTAGGTCTTCGTCGATATATATTTATGTATGTATTTATACCTATATATTTTATGCATATGACTATATATACTATTTACTATTATGTAATATATATGTATAACTATATTATTTAATAATTACCATTATTTTTTCCTCTCTCTCTCTCTCTCTCTCTCTTTGTTGTTAGTTTATTCTCCGTACCTCAGTTTTCGCAGATTTTCCACTTAAACCCTAAGGTTGACTGGTAGAGAATGCCATATGGCATTAAGTTCGCCTTATGTACCATAAAAAAATTATGTACATTAAAGAATAAATAAATAGCTATACAAAGAAATAAAAAGTTTAAAACAAAAAAACAACTAGTGAACCATTGGAAAAGCAAACTTCGAAAGTGCATACGAACTAATAGTAGGTACATAATCAAAACATCACGCTACGGTTACATAGCGCGAATTATCTCGAAGAGGTATTTCTCGGCAGATGGCACATGCGATGCGAATAGTGCCTACAAAATTTATATGCGAAAGTCAATGAACGTTTTTAAAACTAAAGACATGACAACTATATTTTTTTATTTTTACTTTATAAATCGAAAGTACTCCTTATGGCAAGTTTTTTGCCGTGAGACGAAAACGGAATAAATTTCACGGTGTATCCGTATAATTCATTTCCTGCGACATTGAGTAAGCGGGCGTGTGAGTGATATTGTATAATAACGTCATGGGTACATTGCAGGCAACTTTGTTACTCTTCCTGTCGATGGTATGGACTTTGGTGCTCTCAAGGCCCCATCTTGGATTCGGATTTGGTCTCGGCCTTGGTGGTCTTAGGGGTCTCGGTGGTCTCGGCGGCTACGGTGGCTACGGCGGCTACGGTGGCTACGGTGGCTACGGTGGCTACGGTGGTTATGGAGACTACGGCACCCGGGGCTACGGTTATTATCCATTAATATATTACTGAACTAAAATATATAACAAATAAAATTAAAATGAATACTCAAAATAATTACATTTAAATAAATGCTCTATTTCCCAAGAAACCCATCGTTGTCAGTGCATTATTTAATGACCACTGTGAAGCTAATCTATTGGCGTTGATATTATTTGAACCTGATGAGTAAAGTGTGTGGGTTCCGGCACGGGTCCAAGCCAGCAATGTCATTGTCATTTAAATATGAACTTTAAATCGTATGTCGTATGACATATTTCATAATGTCAATATTAAAAAGCTGCAAGCACGGCTCCGGCATGGCGCTTTTTGCTTTGGAAACCTTTAAGTATTGCATGGAGCTGTGCTCGTTAGACGTATGAGGACCTTTAACTTTCAGTAAAATTTGAATAGATGCTAATCAATACATTTTCTGGCAAGTGAACCCAAGCTGCAAGTGTACACCTGCACCATGGGCCCGATTGTCATCCAAACTGCTAAAATATCTTTGAGGAGAAAATATCAAGTGCAGCAGATTTAATGAATAATATCGTATCACTGTTTGTGTTTGAGATATTGTACAGTAATAGTAGAGTACACTTGTGTGAGTGGCCCGTAGTATCTGATCGAGACCGGTGTGACGTTATAGTGTTTGATAACATCGCGAGTGCAGCGACATCGCGTGGCCGGTGTGCGCCGCCACCACGCGACGACGCGACCTCCGCGCGCGCCCGCGCCCCGCACCCCGCGCCCCCGCACGCCCTCACCCCGCACCTTGTGCCCCTGAACCGTCACTCACTGTCCATGCTGGCAATAATTGCAATTTATTTCTTAATCATAAACCAAAACGCAGCTTTTCTAATTAAATAGATACTCGAAGTGGTGTACACACACTCGCACGACCAGCCTAGCCTCACCCACTGCCCTCAAGCAGTAATACAAATATTTTACATAGAGGGTAATGATACATTTGTTTGTTCTATCCCCAAATCTTGAAAATTCAATAAAGAGTACGACGTTCGTGTAAATCCCAAAGCACCTATAGTGTCGTGGTCGTGGCCTCTAATAATATTGCTACTAATATTATCGTCGCCACTAATATTGCTATGCAAAAGTGTTTTGACACTGGACGTCCACTTCAGTCTGTGAGTGTACTTGCCGTAAATGCTGATGCTCGGTCCTTTCCATTCTAAAAGCTTGAAGGCGTCTTCCAATGCAGCGGTAAACAGTTTTGGAGATATGACGTCTCCTTGCCTTCCACCTCGCTGCAGAGCACGCCCTGCTTAGTTAATGACGCATCATTTAAGAGATGCTACCTAGCACATGCTGGTGATGTACTCAATACAGTCAACCGGTTGGCACCACACTTCTGTGATTATTCAGCCGACTACTTCCTATAGTAGGGGAGCCCATGAAGGGATTTCGGTAGTTACTCGAGCGCGTCAAAATAACATATAGGGAAAACCTAGTGTCATGTTGAATATACCCACCATATATCAGATCTGATTAGAAGCGGAAGATTAAAAAATAAAATAAAAAGTTTGACCGTTTAAAAACGTTTTGACGTTTAAAAAATCTGCCCATTCGAGCTTGATTTGCAAGAGTGGGGGGATTTTGAAGGGTTCTCGTTTGTACTCTCCAGAACATTCAATCCCACCATGCAAACGGGCAGATTAAGAGTTTTTATTATTAAATACACATGGAGCATGTACACTTTCAATGTCTGACACGCTCGACCATTAGAACAAAAGTTACGCTTAACAATTTCAAAGATCTGTAAATTCCCCCTTCCCCCACCGGTGAAAGAAATTGTCACTAAACCATTTTTTCTTTCTATCAGCATATCTTCAAAATCCAGTAGGTCCCAACTACGCTCGAGTAAATCCAAATTTAGCATCGTGGGCTCCCCTACTACTACCACGTTTGTATAAGTGCAATAATAATAATAATAATAATAAGTACGAGGAATATTCCAGGGTGACAGCCTGAGTCCACTATGGTTCTGCTTGGCCTTGAATCCTCTAAGTACTCTACTGGAGGATTCAGGGTTAGGCTATCCTTTGCGGAGGAGGGGTCTAGTTATATCCCACTTACTTTACATTGATGACCTCAAGTTGTTTGCTCTAAACAAGAAACATTTGATGGAACTATTGAATATAACTGAAAAATTTAGTAGTTCCATCAGAATGGAGTTTGGAGTAGACAAGTGTGCGGTCATGCATGTAAAGCGAGGAGGGATTGTGGAATGTGAGGGTCTAGAACTCTCAGATTTCACAAAGCTGAGATCACTCTCCGCAAATGATACATATAAGTACCTGGGTATGTCAGAAGGATTAGGCATTAATGGACTGGACATGAAACAATCGTTGCAGGAGCGCTTCTTTGGTCGCCTGAATAAGGTACTGAAAAGTTCCTTATCAGGCGGAAACAAGGTGCGAGCCTTTAACGGTTGGGTCATGCCAGTCCTAATGTATTCTTTTGGTATACTCAAGTGGACACAGACTGAACTTGACACCCTGGATAGACGAGTCCGGACCCTGCTGACTGCAAATCGCATGCATCACCCTCGTTCGTCGGTCATGAGGTTGTACATCCCGCGGAAGTGTGGTGGTCGAGGCTTATTAAATGCTAAGACCCTTCACAACCGTGAGGTGTGCAGCCTCAGGGAATATTTCCTGAAAGTCAACGAGGGTATGCATCGAGAAGTAGCAGCGGTGGACAATGGATTCACTCCGCTATCCTTGGCAAAAGAGAACTGGCGCAAACCTGTGGTACTGAGCGTCAATGATCGCAAGGCGGTATGGCATAGCAAGGAGCTCCACGGACGCTTCTTCCGGGCCCTTCATGGGCCCAGTGTAGATTTTCTAGCGTCCGTGTCTTGGCTACGATTCAGTAATCTCTTTGGAGAAACTGAAGGATTTGTCTGTGCAATTATGGACGAAGTTATCCTTACGAATAACTACCGGAAATATATAATTAAGGATGGGACGGTTGACATATGTCGGGCATGTCATAGTCCTGGTGAATCCATTAGACATATTATTTCTGGTTGTGGTCGTTTGGCTAACAGTGAATATTTGCATAGGCATAATCAAGTAGCCAAGATTATCCATCAGCAACTTGCTTT